CTGTTATTTTATTATGCATTTTTATGGTACTAATATATCGGCTCATGTTGCTTTTTTGAGCCGAGGGTCTCCTGGAAACAGCCTCTCTACCCTTCGGGGTAGGGGTAAGGTCTGCGTACATATTACCCTCCCCAGACCCCACTTGTGGGATTATACTGGGTCGTTGCTGTTGTTGTTGTTGAAGACTCTGACTCGAGTAATGGAGTCTAAATCGTGATTCCAAGACCTCAAAATGAAAAACACTTGTTTTTACCTATCCAACTTCTCAAAATTTGTCATCAGCTAGGAAGAGAAAACAGCCATAACATGAATATTTTTCAACTTTTCTCTGACGTCCAGCAAAATCAAGCAATATACCACATTTTTTCACTTATCTAGTATCCTTCACTACAAGAGGGGTTGGAATTATCCCTCCAACAACCTCGTAATACCCGCCCTCACTTCCTTCAACCTCATCAGGCACCGACAATCCGAGGAAATATAGTTATTAGTATAGATTAGATTCTTTTTTTATTTTATTTTGGGAAAACTACACAGTATAGTCGCTTCCAAAAATAATAGCAGGTAAAATGCATATTTTTTGTATATTAATGTATAATATACATATTTTATACTTATTTTTTTATATATTTGGCTAGCGGATGTAATTATTTTTGGCCGACCGGCCAAATGTGTGTGTTCCTCGAAAATATTTTTAGCAACCATACTCATCTTGCGTGTCTTCTTATTAATAGAAGAATTGAGATCAACATGCACTGTGGACTTCTGCTCTTGTAATATCCGCGAACTTCGTTAGAAATTATCATTAGTCTCTTTACTACTTCAATCTTTAAATTTTGTCAATTTACCAGGTCTAGCAGTTACTATGACAGGAAGAAAAGTTAGGAGCAGCATCGGACAGTGTGAGAATGGGATAACTAACCAGTTCCATTCTATTCTATGTAACCACATCGTGCAGTTATAACCACTCAGCAGTTAACTGTGTAGGAGTAATAAGAGCAAAAGTTGGATGGGAGCGGCACATACCCCAGCTCCACAGACAATATTGTAGAAACCTGTTGATATCTCATTTTGAACAACAATGTCCACTTTTGGTGTAAAGTGTTCTGCTTTTATCTCGGAAACCTGTAAGATCAAAAGCCAAAGGTCATAGCTTAGTTGTGTGGAGCTGTACAAGTTAAAAATTCCTGCTTTCAGTAAGCAGGTAAGAATACATCACCAGCAGGGCAAATCTCCTATTACTTCCTCTTGCTGTAGTTCTGCCAAAATATCAACTCACCATAGAAGAAAGGCCCACATACTAATAGCGACAATAAAGCACGTCACATTCATATCCTCTTACGCATACTTGTTTTCAAGTACACGATCTCATTTTAGTCTAAGCAACTCAAACTTTGAAAACAACAAAATACACGTACCCAATGAGTCCCAGTCATTCAGCAATGAACAGTAGTAGTAGTAGTAGTACAGCAAAAGGATACCCCTAATGTTTTCATATTCACATTGGATAGGACTTGTAGTTATCATGTAATTGACTACATACGGTGCCGAAGAAACCAACTCCCTAAAACATAAAAGGAGTCACATATAAGCATCTCAAACACATTATTCTTCTACGCAAATGAAGCAAAATCTAACAAACTGTCAGAACTTAATGCATAAGAGTATCAGATAACAGAAATAAGGCAAGAGTTTACAATCTTACAGTTAGTAGCTCATGTAAAATCATAGTATCAGGCTATCAGCGATTGAAATATTTTGTTATTTTAACTTTTAATTTTCTTTCATTAGGCAATAATTTTAGTACAAACTGAATGCCAACTCAAACAAAAAAAAGCAAGTATCAAAATGAGAATATATGAGCTATAACACATTTTCTCACTTTCCATTGGGGAGCATTATTTCAATCCATAATCAGTAACCAATGAGGTACTGAAGTATTTCCATAAAAGGACAATATGGTACCTCAGAGAAACATTTTGCTACTGTCTTTGATGCAAAAAAAAAAAAAACATCTCGATTGTCAAATAACATTCAAGCAAGAAAAAGGAACAACAACAACAACAACACCATACCCAGTATTATCAAATAACATTCAAGCAAGAAAAAGGAACAACAACAACAACATACCCAGTATTATCCCAAAGCAAGATAAATTTGAAACAGCAAAAACAACCGTCTCCTGCTTGCCAAGCCTCTTCTATATATTAGTACAATGTGAAATTCCATTTTCCATTTAGAAAATTATTTACTTAAATTAATTTTTAGTTTCTATATGGCCAAGAATTTCTTGTTTAGGATTCTTTCTTCCTATTCTCTCATGAACCTGACTATCAAATCGAAAAACAAGGTGGCGTGATGATAGAACTCAACAAGATATCACTTTGCCAATGATTTGACAGATAGTTGATGTTTTGATATTCATATGAAGGAAAAGGTCATCCAGGAAAGACATTTGCATATTCCCAGAGTTTTAAGTAGCCTGAAGTTTTTCCAAGACTTCAATAATTCCAAGTGAAATTCATGATTGAACCACTAAAAACCTCAAATTTGACTTGGTTGGACAGCTTCTTGAAGTGTTCTATAAATACCACTATCAAAGTATTTCAGTTTCCAAATACAGCAAACATCTTCCCTTGTCCTTATAACAAGGTCCAACAAGGTTTATGTTGCAGCCACAACATTTAGGATTAAGAACAAGCGGGAAAAAAAACAATGAAGAGAAGTGAGAATTTCTTTCGTCATATAACAATTTAACATAATGACCAAAGTGTAAATAAAGGGGTAAGCACACGAAAGAAAATTCAAATGTAACAGCATAAACTTCTCCAAAACAATATACAAGCAGTATGTTTTTCCATGTTTAAATAGGCACCTCATATATTTCACAGTTAGAACTGACAAAGAAAAAGGGGGCAAAACAAAGGCAAATAGATAAGAATTAAAGCAATATAAACAGGAATTGCTATATTGCTTTCAAGAAAACTCTCATAGAATCGAGAATGAAGTTTCCTCCAGTAAATGCATGATTATAAGTTCATGCCATACGGGAATAGGCCGGAATAGTCATATGCAATCTCATTATGAGAAGGGGTCAATCGGTCCTATCTAAACAGATACCATGCTTACATAATGGTTCCTGGATCAAGTTTGATCTTTATAAGGTCCTGGTCTTTCACTTTGCTTTTCCCTCCCTAACCTCAGTGCCCTCATTCCCCCACTCCCCACCCCTAAAAAAGAAAAGAAAAAACAAACAACCTAAAGAAAAAAAAATATTACAGAAGGAACAGCAAAATGCATACTCAGATAGTGTAATGAAATGGAATATAACACACAACAGTTCCCCACAACCAACACAAGCACACCCTATGACAATGATGCACAAAGTGAAGAGGAGTTGGAAAATTGATACGAAGAATGCTCAGAAAAATCAGTTGATCTATATGTAAGACATAAGAAAAACCAATTATGGTATACAAGAAACAAGTGAAACAGCTAAGAGGCAATGAAAAAGTCCATCAGAAACGACAATCAGCCAGTTAAATTGAAAAATTCATCTGCTTTGTGCCATGGTATCAGCAACAAAATTGCAGAGATCTCAAGCTCTGCACTGATCTTAATCTCTGCACCTTCAGCACTGACTATTAAACTGTGTCGCTTCTGTCCAATCTTTGCACTTTAACCTCTATGTGATAAAGAACNCTATTAAACTGTGTCGCTTCTGTCCAATCTTTGCACTTCAACCTCTATGTGATAAAGAACGGCACCAGCCTCTCAGCTTTGCCCCTATAATAATATTTGTCTGTCAAACAATGTCATGACTTCAGAATTTTCCAAAAATTTGTACATTTGATAAAAACATGAACTTATTTTCCGCACACATACTTTAAAAAGAAGCATGTCTAATGAAGATACATTTGGAATAAGTGCTACTGTATAAGATTAATTATGCAAAAATTTATTAATAATAACCTAAAGTGATATAGTAATAGCTTGATCTACAACCAAAGAATTCACTATTGACACAACTCTTCTGGATTGAAAATGTGAGTCGCAACTCAAATATATTAAGAAGAGAAATCCCAGCTTAATACAGCACCCTATAGAGACCGTGAAGCTGGTTGTTACAGCAACAATTGCAGTAGAGAAAAGAAAAGGAAAGCACTCAGAAAGAACGAATGAAAGCTTAACTTTTTTTGATAAAGAAGAATGAAAGCTTAACCATTCCAACTTCTAAAACTTTTTAAATTTTAACCCAAAATTAAATGTCACTACATAATTCTGTTATTCTTTTCAGTTCTTTTAACTTATGCAAGAGATTTCCCACAAGAAAAAATTTATGCAGTAGACATAAGTTTCTTTACCCATACTAAAAGTAACTAGATGGTAGCTTCATTATCATGTTGTGATGCAGACTCGATGAACAGTGCTAGCGGCATACAATCTGTGAGAATGCACAGGAGAAAAATCTATTTATTAACAATGATACAATGAGCCTTATATATAATACACATTCTACTCCTACTACATAAGGGACTAGGACATATTCTACAACTACCTCAGCAAGTATAACTGCAATGAAACACATAAATCGAACAGGCCTTTGAAAGAATTGATTGAAATACGACAGTGGATAAGTCAAAACATAATGCACTCAAAACCAGTCTTTATGCTACATGTTTCTTCATAGTTCCAACAGGGATAGAAACATGGCAAAAGAGTTGATAATGAAGTAAAAGACTCGATGAACAGTGCTAGCGGCATACAATCTGTGAGAATGCACGGGAGAAAAATCTATTTATTAACAATGATACAATGAGCCCTATATATAATGCACATTCTACAACTACCTCAGCAAGTATAACTGCAATGAAACACATAAATAGAACAGGCCTTTGAAAGAATTGATTGAAATACGACAGTGGATAAGTCAAAACATAATGCACACAAACCCAGTCTTTATGCTACATGTTTCTTCATAGTTCCAACAGGGATAGAAACATGACAAAATAGTTGATAATGAAGTAAAAGAATTACCTCATGAGCACCATTCTCTGGCATTTTGGAACATGCGCAACCAGGGACTTGGACCTTTCTTTTCAACATCCCAATTTTTAGGATACCATGGGAACTGCCACATCAAGAAACAGCGTTCTGGATGAGGCATTATCGCAAGATGTCGCCCATCTGGAGAACAAATTGCCGCCACACCCAAGGGAGAACCATTAAGATTGAAAGGATATATATCTGTTGGTCTGCCATCATCATCGCAATATTTCACTGGTGCCAAGTTGGAGCCAACAATATGATTGAAAACATTATCATCAGGGAAATAAGCTCTTCCTTCACCATGAGCAGCCCAAACGCCCAGTGTACTACCTTCCATACCTTTGAACATTATGGCCGGTGATTCTTCTATTGTCACACTCGTGAAGCGGCATTCAAACCTTCCAGACTCATTATGTACAAACCTAGGCTGTGATGGGTCCCCGCCGGCACCGAAAACACCTCCCACTTGGGGCCCCGGAACCCAACCCAACAGAGCCATAAGTTGGCACCCGTTGCAAACTCCGAGGCTGAAAGTGTCTGGACGGTTATAAAATGCCTGAAATTGGTTTAAAAGAGGTTGATTAAAGCGAATGGACGCTGCCCAGCCTTTTGCAGAATCAAGCACGTCAGCATAACTAAAACCTCCAACAAACACAATTCCTCTAAATTCATCAAGCGTGATGACTCCATTGAGAAGGTCTGACATTGCAACATCCCATGGCTCAAATCCAGCAGCATAAAAAGCTGCAGCCATTTCTCTATCACCATTGCTGCCTTCCTCGCGAATAATTGCGACCTTTGGCTTGGAAACGACAGTCATATATTTATCATCAGTAAATGTTGGTGTGAAGGATAGTTTCCAGGATGGTTCATGCCGATTCTTCAATCCTTCTTTTTCTAATTCTACACACGAAGCCAGTCTTTGGAGCTTTTCCAATTGAAAGCTGGTTTCTTCCCACATATCCCTCAGCACAGAAGTTTTCTCATTCAAATGAGTAACCCCGTCAACTGTCAACTCAACTATTGGAGATGAAGTAACTTGAGCAATAATATTAGCTGAAACAGCACCACTGCGGAGCTTTTCCAGAACTAAGTCCAAGTTCTTCCTGCTAACTTCAATGAGAAGGCCAAGCTCCTCTGCAAAAAGTGTTTGGGGTACACTACTCCCTAAAGAAGTTAAATCCAAGCGAATGCCACAGTTCCCTGCGAATGCCATTTCCAGGGCATTCACTAAAAGTCCCCCATCACTGATATCATGACCAGCAGATATCAGCTCATCAGAGATTAGATTCTGAACCTCATTAAAAACAGTCTTAAGATAAGATGTGTCATCCAGATCAGGACTTTCATCCCCAATTTGATCAAAAACCTGTGCAAGAGCAGATCCACCAAGTCGTCGTTTTCCTTTAGCCAAGTCAATATGAAGCAGTACACCATCATCTCCAAGCTTCAAGTCTGGAGTAACTGTCTTGGTTATATCAGGACACGTCACATAGGTACTGATGACTAGATTCCCTGGGGCTTTAACAAGTTCCCCAGACGAGTGGGCTGCCATGGAAAGGCTGTCTTTCCCCCCGTCAATTGCAATTCCAAGTTCAATCATAGCTTCAGAAAGAGCAACAGCAGCGTCATACATTGCAGCTCCTTCACCATCTAGCTTTGCAGCATACATCCAATTCCCACTTGCTTTAACATCAGAAAGAGATGTAACTTTCGCCCAAACAAGATTTGTGAGTGCTTCTCCGACAGCCAGCCGTGCCATTGCTTTTGGATCCAAAAGACCTTTTATTGGCTGCTCCCCAATTGAGCACGCACCTCCAGTTAAGTCTGTATAAGTTTGAGCTATAACAGCAACATCAGAGAGAGTAATCTGGGATGGATATACCTTAACTTGAATTTCAAGCCTATGTCTTTCGCTTGCCTAAGGTTAAGGTAAGAAAAAGAGAGAGCTACTGGACACTACGGGGACTGTAAGCGATCTAACAGAACTGGCTTGTTGAACGGAACTCAGACTCAGACTAGAGATATCAAATGACCTAGGNCAAGAGGAATCTGCAGGGGACCCACAGTTTGTTGCTGTGCCACAAGGCCTGTGACACACCTGTCAACTTTAGTGGTCAAGAACCTTTTCGAACAAACAGAAGGGAGCCTCAGGACCCTCTTCAATGAATCTAAAACTGTTGTTGCAGGAGCAATATCAAGTGGTTCACGCAGATTGTTCATGCGACGGAATTCAAATGTCTTTTTAGGCATATCGCCAAGCACCTTCTCAAGCTCAAGATCCACTGCAGGTGGAGGAGGAGGCAATCCACTAGACCTGCATTTTTCAATTGCTTTTTAGCATAAAAGATGGAGCTAGAATCGCTTACACACAAGTTTTGCATGCTAAAAATCAAAGCCTGAAATGAAATTTAATCTTTATCCTCAAATTTTCAGCATAAGAAAAAAGATTAAATTCTGGTTCTTTCTCGATAAACAAACAGCCAGATGCTTTTTAGCACAAAAATTGGACCAAGAATGCCATACGCACCAGCATTGCACAGCAAAAATCAACGCTCAGAAATAAACATTAATCTTTCTCCAAAATTTTCAGCATACAAAAAAAAACAATTTTGACAACCAGAAAATAGCTTTGAGTTATTGCTTTAGCAAAATCAACAAATATCATTGCCAAAAATCAAAATTTGAAATAAATACTTAATTGTTCTTCCACGAATTTTCAGCATCCATAAAAAGATTCAGTTTTGAGCAAGGCCAGTGAGTGTGTTGGAACTTTTGGACAAAAGCTCAGCAGTGAGACATTCCTTTTTTTAAAAACTTAAATTACTCTTCTAAGAACAAATGCCTGATTAAAAATTTAATATAATTTATTATCATTAGTTTTAGGGCGGAATTGCCCTACCTGTTGGGAAATATACTGGGTATGTTGTTGTTGTTGTTTTAGGGCGGAACTGACAGAGGTTTGTAATTGAGTGATGGATATCTAGTCAACTTAGGTAATAAAATTCATGATTGTTAATCTTTCAGACATTAATTTTAATTTTACTTTAAGGATGAGGGCAGTTCACCAGACCTGGATTTTTCAATTGCCACGCTATCCTCCAGGACAATACGCCCTTCACCATTAATTGTTCCAATAACAGCCATGGAAACTCTTTCCCTCGCACATATTGCTTGCAAAAGTTCACGACTTTCAGGCTTCACTAGTATAGCATCTTGCTCCTGATATTCTGCACCCCAAATTTCCAGAACAGACATCGTGTGATCGCCAACTACAATTGCCCTTATATCAATTTTGGCGCCCTGTGGATGTATTATTTCCTTCACAACATTACAGTTTCCACCAGCACCCTGATCATGAATACTTATGATCGGGTTGTTGTCCCCTATCTCAATGCAAGCACGAACAACCCGATACAACTTCTGTGCCATCTCAGCATCTCCACGCTGCACGGCGTTGAAGTCAAGCTCAGCATCATTCTGTCCACTGACCATGCTGGATGCAGCGCCACCTCCCATTCCAATACGATATGCTGGTCCTCCAATCTTAACTACCAACATACCAATCTCGGGTTCTCCCTTTGATAAGTGAAGGTGATCTATTTGCCCAATGCCAGCACTAAACATGATCGGCTTCAACCATTCCCTCCTCTCACCACTTGGCAGTCTCATTCCAAACGTTCGACAATAACCCTGAATCAAAGGCTCCCCGAATTTGTTCCCATAGTCCGATGCTCCATTACTAGCATCAATAAGGATCTGCAGCGGTGAAGCCAAATTTGCTGGGTATGTGAAAGAAGGATCTTCCCAAGGAGCATATGAACCTTCAATATGAAGATTTCCAACACAATATCCAGCTGTAGATGCAACAACAAAAGAACCCCTTCCCGTAGCATGGGTATCCCGGATACGGCCGCCTGCACCTGTCTCAGCACCAGGATAAGGTGCCACAGCACAAGGGAAATTGTGGGTTTCTGCAGTAAACAAGATAGCTAGGTCACTGGTAATCATGACCAAGAAGCATGCCGAACCAGGCTTGATAGGTCGCAATTGCTTCACTCGGAACCCCTTGATAGCGCTGGAATTATCTTTGAAACCAATAACCGAATTGTTTGGATTTGCAAGCAAAGTGCTCTTGACGATCTGCATAAGAGTCTTATCCACAGGTTGACCATCTATAACAAGTTTCCCTGTAAAGAACCAGTGCCTACTATGTTCGCTATTAGATTGAGCAATATCAAATAATTCCACATTCGTTGGGTTTCGCTTCATGTCATCCCTGAAAAGTTTGATGTAGTACTGTAAGTCTTGCTCATCAAAAGCCAACCCCATTTTCTCATTAATTTCCTCCAATGCCTTTCGACCCCTTTCTATGACGGGTATATATCGAACCTCCTCTGGAACTATGCTTGTCTTGAAAGAAGTAAGCTTCTCAACATAAACACACTCAGTCATCCGATCATGAACCATAGAAGCAAACTCATTAATTTGACTATCCAGAAGTGACCCGTCAACATATAATAAATACCTCCTAGAACGCTCCATTCTATTTATCTCTGTTAATCCGCATGCTTGGCAAATGGACACTGCATTAGCGGACCACGCCGTAGTGAAAGATAACCGTGGACCAACTTCAATGATATATGCATCTGGAATTTTCCTCTTCTCCTCATCGAGGAAACTCTCGCTTCCCAAGTTCTCAGGTTCATAAGTTTCTCCTAAAACCCATTTAAGCACAAAAAGTTTCTCACTTGAAATATCTGAATTGAGCCCGATATTGAAACACTGTTCTGTTTTCAAGCCAATTATCTGATTAGAGACCTTTGTTTGAACCAACTTGAGAAGCTCAGCAGTGGCACTGTCCTGTAGAAACGGAACACGATATAAATGCATCACCTTCTCAGCAACCTGAACATCTTCATCAACGACGCTCTTGATATCCCTCGAGACCACAGCTCTAATCTTCGCCGGAATATGAGACCTTAAACTCAAATTCTTATGTGAATACTTAAGAGGGCTTTGTCTTGGAAGTGTACCCCAAAGCAAACGATTCGTCTGCTTACTGGAATGTCGGGGTAATGCTAGCTTTTGTCTATCAAAACCCTGCAATTAAATAAGTACCAGAGTTAAAACAATTTCCTCAACATCATTATACAGAACATATTAAAAGAAACAGTAATAATCATACCTGTAAGAATTCTGTTGCAGTGATGTCCCAAGCAGATGTTGCCATTGCAAAAGTCTGCTGCTGCAATAAATAAGAATGAAACAAATTATCGTTGAACCAAAAAAAAACATAGACAAGAAACAAGTCAGCACGATAAATTTATGGGATAAGAAAAACCTTAACTTCTAGAAAACTAACAGAATATACGCTAGCTAAAGAAAACTCAAAATCAAATAACCCCAGGAAAAAATCAATTAAATACCCCACTCAAGAACAATATTTGTTACAAAGGAGTAGCCTTTACCCAATTTTGGCGTTTCCTTCACCACGCGCGCAAAAAGCTTTTTAGCATAAAAACTGAGCTAGAATACAAATTTGTGTGTGATAACAATCAAAACTTGAAATAAAAATATAATCTTTCTCCACACATTTTCAGCATAGGAGAAAACAAGAATCAATGTACCTTTAAGTTGTGGTTTTAGCAAAATCAGCTAAAATTATGGCCAACGTGAGTGGGGAAAAGCCAGCGTGAGAGAGTGTTGGCTGAGGCTTTTGGACAAAAACCCTAGTACTCAGATATTCCTTTTTCTTTTTTCATTCTACTTTATTCGAAATTAAAGATTGATATAGAGTCAACTTAAAATTTGATTATTCGAAAATTGTTATAAATATATTATATTATGAATGTTCATTTAGTACTCCGTTGTAAATAATCTTCATCCATATGAGATTCCACCGTAAATTTGTTTATCCATTTAGTACTCTATTGGAAATAAGCTTCCTGAAAAATCTTATCACTTCGGTACCCGGTTATGGATAAACATTACCCTAGGTAGAAGATTATCCATACCGGGTATAATAAGCTTATCCATTCAGTACTCCGTTATGGATAAACATTGCTCTCAGTAGAAGATTATCCATATCTAGTGTAGTAGCAGCTTACACAGCAGCTTGCAGTAGCAACTTACACAGCAACTTGCAGTAGCAGCTTACACAGCAGAGCTTGCGTAGCAGCTTACACAACAGCTTGTAGTAGCAGCTTACATAGCAGCTTGCGTAGCAGCTTACACAACAGCTTCCTTTCTTTTATAAATAGAAGAGATTTCAGTTCATTATGTACATCAGTTTGAATTCGAATAATATATCAGTTTCTCTCTATACTTGTCTTTACTTTATAGTCTTTATTTTATAACACGTTATCAGCACGAGACTCTGCCATCTCGAGCAAATATTTTGAAAGTATCTGAGGTAAGAACTTTCTTTTCCTAAATAATGTCAAATCTTTCTAAACTTGAATTTGTAGCCCTGGATATATCAGGCAAAAGCTACATGTCTTGGGTGTTTGATACTGAAATTTATCTTAATGCGATGGGTCTGGCAGACACCATCAAAGACAAAAATCAAGCATCAAACCAAGACCGTGCCAAAGCAATGATATTCCTACGCCATCACCTTGATGAGGGCCTAAAAATGAAATATCTTACTGTTAAAGATCCAGTCATACAGTGGAATAATTTGAAAGATAGATATGACCACCTGAAGATGGTTGTTTTTCCACAGACACGAAATGATTGGACTCATCTAAGGCTACAAGATTTTAAATCTATCAGTGAGTATAATTCTGCTATGATTAGAATTATTTCCCAATTGAAGTTATGTGGTGATAATATTACTAATCATGATATGTTGGAGAAAACTTTCACCACTTTTCATGCCTCGAATATGCTCCTGCAGCAGCAATATCGAGAGATGGGATTTAAAAAGTATTCTGAACTTATCTCACATCTTCTTATAGCCGAGCAATATAATGGGCTATTAATGAAAAATCATGAAAGCCGACATGCTGGTTCTTGTCCATTCCCTGAAGTGAATGAGACGAATTTCCACCAGGCTAAACGTGGAAAAGGTCGTGGCCCCGGTCGTGGTCATGGTCGTGGTCGGGAAAGAAACTCTAATCATGGTAATAATAATGCACCAAAGAACACTCCTCACCACCAGCAGTGGAAAAGGAAGGAACAAAAGCATGAAGCGGTGCAAGCACCAAATGCAGAAAATGCATGCTATAGATGTGGAGAAAAAGGGCACTGGTCACGTACCTGTCGTACGCCAAAGCACCTGGTTGAGCTTTATCAAGTCTCCCTAAAGAAGGCAGAGAAAAATGCTGAAGCAAATTTTATTTCTGAAGATAATTTAGACTTCATGCATTTGGATGTAACTGATTACCTTGCACTCCCAGAAGGAGAAACAAGTCATGTAATCGGTGGTAAATCTATAGAAATGTAAATATTTTAATTTTTGTTGTTTGTAATAGATAGTATTGTTATCTAATTGTTGTACATAAAGAATAAATTATGATTTGATAATGATGTTTACTATAATATATCTTATTTATGTCATTTTGAAGAATATGGATAATATTATTAGATCAACTTAAACTCTAGCAGAGTTTGCAAGAAATATACAACCACCAGAAGTAGTTATATTTCATATATCTCATTGTAATTAACCACCAGAAGTGGTATATGTCTATGATCACCAGAAGTGATAATTTAGGCTTTCTATGGTTACAATTGAAGATAAGCTACATAAATATTCTCTATATTAAATGCACGCCTCGATTTGCTCCTGAAATAGTAAATATTTTAAAAGAGATTGAGGCATCACAATTTGATGATTAATGCGCATTCAGATAATTATGTTCGATTTCCTGAAGGATGAGAACTTTGGATAATATTAATCCATTCCCTGAAGTGAATGTGACAATATTAATAAATCGGGTAAATATGAACGCACTCTTGATGTGAATATATCACAGTTCACCTTAAGAAGAGGTAATATAATTGAGAGAATATATACTCAATATTTCGTATTTTAAATTTGCTCCTGAATAAGTAACACAATTGAAATTGCCTCCTAAAGTAGGAAAATATTATGAAGAAGAGTTTTCTTGTGCTTAAATAATTGTTTTACATTATTTATTTGATTGTGATTTTCTCTCATGATACCAGAAGTGTATGAGAAA